TTAGACTGCACCTTGTGTGTAGATGAGAAAACTAGATTTAGTGATCTCCTGAGCAAAATTCATCCATATCTTCACAAAGGCAGAAGAAAACAAGTGAGGCAGACCTCTGTGTAGAGATTGTCTCCTGTGAAGAAAAGCACTGGAGAACTAGCCATGTGCTATGCAAGCTAGGTATGGGAACTAGCTTTTACTTATTTAGACTGGTCCAGAAACTCCTGCTTGCCTGCTCAGGGATCTTGGAATATCAGGGTGTTATTTGATGCCAGAGAGGAGGTGTTTTAGCAGCTGTTCAGAAGAATGAAGAGCTCTATGTGGCTGTTGCAGCTGTGCCCCCCATCCCACTGCCACTTGAAACACCCACTGGAGACTGCTTCCACCTTTGACAAAGACAGCAGCTGGTATCTGCAAGAGAACCCTGTTTCCTTCTGGTGCATCCTGGGGCAGCATTATAATGACTAAATGCAAAAGATACTCCTAGAATATCAGCAAAGGAAGAGCAAGAAAAGCCAAGAAGAAAGATTAAAATACCTTATTGATTTTATTGAGTTAGATTATCAGGACAGGTACTTGAAGTTTCTCTCTCATGGTACCCTGGAAGCAAGTAGAAGACAACTGATAGGTGTCAAGTTAGCTGCTGCTGAGGATAACACTGCTGAAGGCAAGGAACATGTATTAAAAAGCCTGCTTGAAAAGAAGTTGCTTTTCAGGTCAGATATCTGAAATGTCCTTTGTTTTGTCCACTGGAACTAGGTTATGAAAGAAAAGATGCAAATGAGTTGAAACAAAAGCCTTGCTTTGCTAATTGTTCTTAAGACTAGTGACAACCAGTACTACTTCCCAGCAGAAGGCAGAATTAACTAACTTTGTTCATTTCTTCTTGCTGCTGTAGGAAGCCAGGTGGTAGGACCAGGAAAAGAACTGTAATTAAACTCCACCCATCTTCAAATGCAGGTGAAGAGATCGTAATTTGTGAAATGAATCCATACAATTAGACAGTATTCATACAATTATAAGCTGAACACTGAATGATTAGTGATTCATGAATAATGAGCTAGTATCCTCTCACAAACCTCATTGAGGGTATCCAATTTATATTTGCTTCGTGACAATGATCTTTTTCAACCCTATATGTGTAATCAGGAAGGAATTTAGGTGCTGCATAAGAAATTGCATAAAACTTACACTTTTTTTTTTACCCTGAGAAATGTCTTTGAAAAAATAGCAATATCTTACTTTCATACGTGTGTGGCAATTTCATGGATTTTTGTTTTGTTATTGCAAAGTAATGAGTTTACTGCCTGAATGGGGATTCTGAAAAGATTGCATTTCTTTAAGACCTTTTGGGAGACTTTGCCAATAAAGCGTGAGTGTCCCTATCCGGTGGGATAAAAAGTCCACTTACTTCAGGAGCCTGTCTTCAAGAGTGGTCAATATGTGATGCTAAGGGAGAACAGACATTCTCAGGCAACGCTCTCTGCCTTCACATTTACAGCCTGTAATCAATACAGTGCAATTTATTTTTTTAAACTTATACAGAGAATGCTCAAAACAAAGCAACAGAACCACTAATAGTTTATGATCTGAAAAGGAATCTTAAAGTTGTAAGAGATATGGTATATAAAGTCCTAACTAACCTGTTATGCCCTCATAGTGACCCTGATTTCAGCAGGTGGAGACCTCTTCGGATCCCTGAAAGTAGTGCCAGTGCATGCTCCCAGGCGGGGTATCTTTGCCAGCTAAAGAGGGATCTCCAGATCTAAAGCAAACAGGTCATTTCCTTTTTAGCTGGAAGATGCTGTCCGCATGTTTTTGCAACAGTGGATACTGTATATGTTTGTAGAAGTAGCCCAGCTATTACAGAGGGGCATCAGGCACACAGAGTTAGTGTGAAACACTGGAAGCTTTATATGTGGGGTACTCCATTAAAGCACTGACTTGGGACTTTGTTTTCTTTACTACCTGCTTTACCAAACTGTTCCTCATAAATTCTACAGAATCTTCTTCTGAGCTGCCTGAACTTTCTTCCCTCCTATTTCCTGCAATAGGAGCATGAGAATAAAGCAACAAACCTTCTCACCTTTGTTTGTTTTAAACCTGTTCCTTTATTACCTCTGGCATTGTTTTGTTGTACTTCTGCATTTACCTAATTCTGGCAGTAAAATCTTTGGGCAGGAATGGTGTTTCCGTGAATTTCACAGTATTGAGCTACACGTATGATCATCTGCAGAACAGATTCTCATTATGATTTCAACAGCCAGATCTGCAGGATTAACCAGTCAGAATGAGAAAAGCTAGCTGCTGCTTTTTTTTATTCTTGACTAATAAAAACTGATTTCTGAGCTCTTTAATAAGTGACTGAGACTGCAGGTAATTTTGGACTTCTAAAACATACCCATCTCTTCATTATGAACAGGCAAAGGGATGATTTCTAAAATGGGAAAACTGCTAGACTTTAACTAGTAAGTCAGAATACCTTGTCTCATAACCAATTTGTGTTTGACTGACAGAAGCTTTTATTTTTAGCTCACTTAAGGGAGTCTATACTAACGGAGATGTTCTTATGTTATAGAAGTTTACTGAGGGTTTGGAGGTTTTTTCCCCCACTTTCTTCTCTGCCATTTCTAGTAATCCTCTGTTCTGTTTAGGGTGGGATTTCCAAAAATGGTTAAGGGACTTCAATAGCACAAGCTCTTATGCTCCAGAGTTATTTAGAAGATTTGGAAGATTCCTGTTCTAGGTGTCTTGCTTCTCTGCCTGTGAAATGGGTATGGTAATAGGCTATCCCATCAGGGTGGTGAGAGAATGAATAGATTTGGTATCATGTGATCAGTGACAGTGTTGAGATGAGGTCTGAAGTCTCATATTACTGTATAATCTATATATAGAGGTCACTATTGCGGCTGTGTTTACCTCTTTTTATAGTACATGCATAGTAGGTTGATGGGTCAGGAATAAACATTGTGATGGAATACCATAAGATGCTGTTTACTGATTTAGCAGAAATCAGTTAGTTTAGCTATAAGGCTATCGCCAAGGCTAGGCAAAAATTTGCGCATGGGATTCCTTAAACATGAGATGATTACAAGTGTTCTTTAAACCAAAGAACAACATTGTGTGTTATGGAAAACACAGATTAGGAAACTAAGCATGTTTGATTTTGGTGTTAATGCTGTAATGGCTAGTTGCTTTAAGATTGCTGTAACATATTACCTGTGGTTATGAGTAATAATTGTTATTTAAAATATTACAAAACTGTTTATGAGTACTAAGCTTGTGTACGCTAATTTTGAGATTGATGCTTGCTACGTGAGGGTAGTGCTCACATAAATTTGCACATAGATATAAAGCAATAGAGCTGAAAACTTCTTGGAGAAAAGGGTCATTTTTCTCATACTCTTACACTACAAAGTGGGAGGTGCCAGACAATAGGTGTCAGCACTGGTTCAGCTATGGACAACTTCACTGCAAATGTAGATTAAGGCAGCTGGTGTTAAGCACAAATTTGCTGTGAAATACTTTCAGCAAACTGAACGCCCGTACAGAAGTGCTGAGACAATGTTTGACACTTGTTATAAAACAGCTTTTCTAGGGGTTAGGCTGGGCAATAGAATATGTGAGTCAGAAGATAAAAGCTGGTAAAAATAATGTGTGTATTGTATTCACTCTGACATATTTCCAAAATACTGAAAGAAAGACTGTTTCTGAAAATGGTAATTTAATTAGGGTTTGTTGTTTTGTGAATTGTTCAGAGAGGTTCCTGGGAGGGAGAATTTGATGTAGCGCTTTTCCAGGAATTTTAAGAAAATCAAAAAACCTAACTGAAACTAATAAGCCTGGTATGATGAAGGAAAGCAAAGTCACAAAAATGAGAATAGAGCAGACAGGTTTAACTACAGTGCTAGGAAACTTCTATGAGACTTCGGAATCGTGCTGTTTTGTGGAGGAATTTTAAACTGGAACTAGGGGTTTAGCTATTTTGTTCGTGAAACCAACATGTGTCGTATCTAGGGGTCTGTGAACAATTCTGCGACAACTTTGGAAGAAAAACCAGGAAGACCTAAACAATGCAAAATGTATGGTTGTGTAATAGAGAAACCAGAAGAAACCACCGCCAAGGAAATGGAAGACAAAAAATTCTTCAGAGAATTCGCTTTCCTCTGTGTTTCACTGGCAACATGCGCCTAAGATCCAGGATGTGAGGATTAAGCCAAAAAAGGTAAGCCCAAAAGCTTTAAGAGCCCAGTGAAAACATCATGATCTTAGCTCAGCACCTCGTTTGAGGTGCTGTATCAGAGTTTCAGCTCTCTGGAATTGCTTTTATCTGAACAAATATGTATCTGTTTAAATTATGTCCTTGCAGGTGGAGGACGCTGTAGCTTTAAAACTCTGAGGAAAAATACTGAAATAGTCTTGCTGTCAGTCTACTAGCTGATGTGCGTGTATCGAGGAGTTTAAATAAGCAGGTGCTCTCATTAGAGACCTCTGAGTGGTAAATGCCAGCTGGATGGTTATGCACAGAGCAAGAGAAACAGAGGTTTTTCTTGTCAATATTCAGTGAGGGATAGTTGGGAGAACCCCTCCCCCCTGCCCCCCTCCCCTCCGGAGTTTGCGTTGTATTGCAAAATACAGTGAATTCCTGGCAGCCGTTGCAGTGGCACACTCCGAGTGCCCCAAGCCTGGCAGTATAATCTAAAGGGAATGCGGTTGAATTGTGATCTATTGCTATATAAAAGGGGGCGGGTCACTCTGCTCGTTCCAGCTCCTTTTCTGTCCTTACTGCTGCAGAAGCACCAACCAAACGCAGCTGGCACGCCTCTTCGATGGCTCTTATATAATATGGGGTTTTACAGGGCACTGATGTAGAAATAAAGTCAAACATTCTTGAGGCAGACTCATATTACTTATCGTATTGCTGGTGCTCCCTTTGCTGTGGGGTGTAGGGCTGCTCTCGGAAGGGTGATCTGTGGCCCTGTTTGAGTGAATTTTGGAAGGTGTGCAGGATGGCTCCAAACGAGACAGGGGATGAACTTGTTTTCTTTGTGAATGGTAAAAAGGTAAGGAACATTCCAACTTGCTCCTGGATTGTGGCTTGATTATTTGTTTTTCTGGTCATCTTTTCCTCCTCTAAAGTTTTCTAATACCAGCATGATTGTCATGACTTTTAAATACTAAATTGTGAAGACTATTTATTACTCTGCTAAGTGGCTTTTTCTCTTCTTTGACTTGACCTTGTGAATTATTCAGAGTAACACAACTATATAATGTTCCTTTTACATTTTAGATTTGTTGACAATAATTTACTGCAATTCTGAGGTAACTACTTTTAAATAAAGGTGCACTGACCGAATACAGGCATTTCTACTAGAAATTTCAGTAATTACAACAGATCTGGAAAACGTAACTTAAATGTAAGCATCCATTTATAATGCAGATGTTCAGTAAGTAATTCTGACATTTGATTTTTATAAGGCATTTAAGTAAAATGTTCATTCTACTTCCATTTAAGAAGCTAGAAAACTCTTTAAAATCAAAGCCCATTAACTGATACTGTTTCCTAGATCAACTGCTGAAAATTACCTAAGAAGTGACTGTGTCTCACAGGAGGGTGAGGTGGTCCTTGCACATGCTGGACGCCTTTGAACAGTTTGTCCCAGAGCTCCGTTTCTTAGTTTGGACTTCCCCTGGCTAGCATTGCTGCAGCCTTGACTCTTCAACAGCTTGTAACAAGCCAAGGCTGCCTCTTTTTTTGAACTACGAATATCAAGTTGTTTCTGAGCTCAGCTCAATGCTAATCTTGCTCCACCACCTTCCCCTTGCCTAGATACTTGGGCAGGGAAACTTGTGCCAAAGCAGCTTCCAGCTGGGAAACTTGAGGAGGGACAGGGTTGCATAGCCACTGTGTTCTGTGGAGCCAAGAGTTTGTGGACTTTCCCTGTGCACTGCTTAGGGGTAAATCACATGCAGCACTAAGTTTGGGCTAGAGAATTGACTTTTTTTAATCCCTTGAGGGATCGCACAGTATTCTTAGTTGGTTAAAAAGCTCTGCGCCCTGCCCTACAGACTGGCACAGGATTACTATCAGTCTTGCTTTTGTTGATCTTTCGTGGTAATTTAATCAAGTGTAAATATGGATAAGATTGTTGCTACAATTAAGGTGTTTCAGTTATGAATTTGGATCCCAAACTGTGACTGGAATTTGAACTTTCCAAGGTATTGGAACATTTGATATCAAAGTTTTGTTTTAGCTAAGTATCAATAGTTAGGTAAAGAATTAAGTTTATCTAATATGGATTATAAGTTAGTTAAAGAGTTCTTGAATGTAACACTGATGTAGAACCCAGCCTTGGTTCTGAGGTTCTATGAAGATGGATGACAACCAAAGCTTTGCTCACACAGATCAGTAATTGTTCATATGTCAACATTAATTGACATACCAGCCATTCATTGTTTCTAGAGGGAGGTGAAAACTTGAAGCTCCAAGTTAATCTTGACTAGTCGAGTCTGGCAATCGAGATCATGAAGCAGTGACACAGGATGACCTATGAATTTCATCTGATGAATTTTTTGCTGTGGTGGGCACAGGTGGTATACCATTCACTTGTCGTCTTCTCGCTCTGTGAAGGTTTTAGTGACTTCAGATCCCTTCTTTGTGAACCCCAGTTTTTAGAGGGTGAACTGTGAGCTTTTTGAGTCTTGCAGTAGGAGGTTGCCACAAACATGTTGGGCAATCCAGACCCCGATACAGGCCAAGTGTACTGTCTTGTTTTCTTTTTCTGGTATGCTCTAATGGAAGACAATTGTGGTTCTGGTGCCAGACCATCTAAGGTTCAAAACCAATATACCTGTCATGGTAGATATGAAGAGTTTATAAACAAATTCCTATATACATTTCCAGCTGGCGTTTCAGCATTGGTTGGTGCTCAGGTATTACAGGAGCATTACTCTATGTAAGTCAGTAGAAAAGCCCTTCTTCCTGGAGGAGACTCTTAGCTAACAAATGAAAATGTGTATTAGTCAAAGCAAAAGAGCAGAGACTGAGCTGCACAGGACTGGTTCTGTGGGACTCTCTTTTACGAATGTGGGGTGAGGCAGAGAAGGGGAGAAAGAACAGCCTAGACCCTGTAGGCTAGCAGCAGAAGACAGCCAGTTCCTTTTGTATCTGCTCTCTGGTTTTGCTATGTCCTGGAGCTAACGAACATGCTGTGAATGGCATTGCCCTTGGTGTCTTTCAGCAATTTTTATGGAACTCCAGTTCCTGTTTACAAAAGCCACATCTCTGAGCTGACCTGGTGCACGTGTAAAGGGGTTTATCACAATGTGATCTTGGCAGTTGACTAAAAAAAACCAAACCACTAAGGAACGATTAATACTACCAACGGTACCAACCCATTTCACGTGTCAAGGCTGTTTCAGCATCCTTCCCTGCTGGCTCATGGAACCGGCAGTGCTAGCAAAGGAGCAGGTTCCACTTGATCAGAGAGGGCTTCCTGGGTTGTGCTCTACCCAGAGCCTCCAGTGACATTTTTTTTTTCCTATTCCCTTTTTGGGTGTGCTGCCAAAGTGGCTTGAGTTACACCCCCACCAAATACAGGTTTGAGAGAATTGAAATCATGGGGCAATCCAATCTGTGGCAACAAATATGGAGTTTGTTGGGACATTTCTGCACATGAGGGAAGGGGTAGTGGGAAGTGCCTGGGCACTGCTGCTGAAACAGCAGGTAGCAAGTTAGGATATGGCTCCATCCATCTGGAGTCCTGCTAAATATTCTGGTCAATTCGCTGCAAAGAATGTGATAGCATGGCCAGTGGGAAAGGTTACTGCTGTGTGAATTCATGACAGCTTGACATTGCTAATGGGCTGCTGATATCCTGCCATAGTACAAAACTGCACGATAAGAGGTGGTTGATAAGATAGGGACTTTCATGGCAGCAAATCCTTCTCATTAGCCCAGTCTGTAATGTTGTCAAGAAAAAGTCTCCTCAGAACAGCTGAGCATACTTCACATTCAGGATTGTTTATTTTAAGCACCTGTTTACTTCACTGGGCATAAAGCTTGGCACACAACTATCACGAAGTTATCTTGATAGTCTGCCTAGACTAGAATGAAAAACAACACATGCAATTTAAAGCTAATAGCGGCAATTTTGTTTTCCCCAGCTGACAAGTCTGTCGCGTGCATATGCAGCATGTAATTTTAGTTCAAACACGTGGAGTCAATATTCCTATTTCTATCCTGAATGTTAAGAGGGGGTCTATGCTGGAAGCCACATTAGACCTTTTCCAAAGCCTGTGTATGTCTAATTGCAGATGGGACCAGCCAAAATACAGGATTTTTTTTTGAGCATTGGGACCCTCTGGGTCCTACATAAACAGTGAATCACAAGTTTGCAGTGTGCTGGTTTAAAGCAGAACAAAATGTTCTCATGACCAATAGCAGATTTACATTGTGTGGTTATATTCAGTTTGTTCATCTGTGTTCTAATGCTTTTCCCTAGTACATGAATTTGAAATCTCTTGTTGACTTCAGGAATACAGTTTCACAGATTTTAAGGTCTTAGGGGACCTTTACTGTTGACTAGTCTGACTTGCTGCGTGACAGTCTGTTTAAAACCTTTTACCTTCACTTCCTGCAACTAACTGAGTGACTAGGGACTAGCGATTGAATGGGGAGCTTGTTGTTCAGTGAAGCATCTGTTTCTCATTTAAAGACCCTAGCTGAGGGAAAGCTTAGCATGTTGTTTGGTAAACTAGGAAGGTTTCTGTTTTCTTTTCCTTTTTGTTCCTCTATTTACCTTGCTCAACTACTGTTCTTTTTAAATTGAAAAATCCTGTCTTTAACTTTCTGGTAATACTAATTTAGATACTATGCTTTATGTTGTAAAGGCAAAATTGTCCGAGTTAGTGAAAGGCAGATAGGAAGACAGCAAACAAAATGTTTATTGAGATCCAAGTTTTGTATGTGAAATCCTGGGGAAGTGAGCTCAACACCTCTCTGGACCAGCTCAGAGGCTCTAAGAGTGTAGAGTGCTGCTTAGGAACTTGTTCCGTGTAGAACTGTAGGGCTAGGCTGGGCTCCCTGCTGAGGTGATCTGAGTATTTAAGATTTCTAGAACCCATGGACAAAATAGATGTGTAGTACAAACACAGCAGTATGGAGCAAATTTTTTGGGAGCCATTTGACTGTCAGTGCCCTTCAAACATTTCCAACTTAAGCTACTACATGCAGTAAAATCTGCAGTTTTGAATCTGTTAAAATGTAGCCGTCAAACTGATGTGTCTGGCAGTATGACATTGGGTTTAAAAAAACCCCAAAACCTTAAACCCCAGTAACTGAGTGAAAAGAAAATATTTCTTTAATTGCCATATCTAAGTAGGCAGATCCTACTCCCACTGAAGGCAATGGATGATATAATTCAGTTTCCTTCTGTACAAGGACTCTGGAGGAGGTGAGCAAGAACTGTTTTGATGGGTAAGATACTGAGCTGTGAATCATACTGTTCTGGGCATCAGACAAGAGAAGATGTTGTCCCCACCCACAGGGTTTTTAAAATATTTTAAGAACAAATCACAGCAGGTGACTGTAACAAACCACTGGAGGAATGACATGCTGGAGGACAAAACCAGCATCAATGACAATGAACAAAAGGCAGGAACAGTAAAAAGTTCTTACTCTGTGGCCAGCAAAAGAGACTCATAAACAAGCATCCCCCCACCAGGAGTCTGAGTGTCAAGAAATGACTCCTTGCTCTCTCACGTGTGACATTTGGTTTAATCCAGAATGTCCTCCAAATTCTTACTCCTTATCTCCCTCTAATCCTAAGTCTCTGCCAGCATTGCAGATATACAGGTACAGTGGAGTAGTTTGAAGTGGCCGAAGTAGGAATCCTGGGCTATTGGTTTGAACAGGATGAGAGTGTGGATTGTTCAGGACATGTTCTACTGCATTGTGGGAGCCACTTTATCAGAAAGTTGAGCAAAGGTTTGTCTTTGGGACTTAACACATGCTTAAGTACCTCACTAAAAGTGTGTGGAGCCGAGTGGCTGAGTTGCTGAATGAAGGCTTAGGCCCATGTTTTATTTCATACTTAACTTACTGAAAAGGAGCCATTGGGCCAAACTTCTAATTGCTTGGTTTGAGTACGCAGTGGAGTGCTTCTTGGATTATCTCAAGAAAACTTCTTGAGACGTTTTCTTTGATCTAAGCATAGAATAATCTCAGTAGTCTGTAATCATCTGGAAAACTATTCTGAAGCTTTTTCTCTGTGCCTGGCTGCCTTGGAAGCTGCTTTGGAAGAGTTTGCAATGGCCATTGGCACAGCCCTGAGGAAGAAACTCAGCTTGTCAGTGAGGGTGTGAGTTGCTGGGGAAGACTTGTTGCCTGTGAAATGGTCATGAAAGACCTTTTGTCAGTGGGACTCTCATAGTCACAGGCATTTTTGCAATTATCTGCTCTGTCTGTTAACCAAACTACTGCAGGGGGGATATATGTGCTTACTCTGAACCAACTGATCACGAGAGAGCCACTGTTACTTGTTTCTATGCATCCAGAAGGTATGGGAACAGGAGCGCTCTGCTCTGAATAGCAGCAATATGAGTGCTGTGTGATTTACAGTAAGGCATCCCCAAGCTAGAAGAATGAACTGTGTTTCCTTGTAGATTATCCCCAATGCAGAAAATGAATGTGCAAAAAACCCCTGTTTTGTAGCAGCAGCTTTATCAGATAGTTCGAAAAATGGGGACTCAAATAGGAAGTATGAACCTTGTCTCTTTAGAATAACCCTGTCAGGTGTCAAAGGCATAAAACTGAAGCAGTACAGAGGTTATAGAAGGTTTCTTATCAGTAAGAAAAGACTTACACAAATGACCTCTGTTTCAATTTGCCCTTCAAATGGGGAGAGATTAATTTAAATAAACTGTAACTATTGTACTTAGGACTTGCACAATATAAGAGCCAAGAACACATGATTACATTCTGGCACACAGTGGATTTGGAAAAGTTTCTTGACACTCTATTAATAACAGAAAAAGGGGAAGACAAGCTCTGGGGCCATTTGGAGGCAAGGGCAGAACTTTGGTTTCTGACCGTTGGGCAGAGGTTGAAGTAAAATCTCATTTTATGTCTAATAGATAACTACTAATAGTGTTGTTCACTAATAGGATGGAGCTGACTCAAAACATGCAGGGAAAATTTCTCCTTGGTTTGAAATTCACATTCCCGCAGTTAGGATGGTTATTAATGTAACACTGATTTAATGTTAGCAGGAGAAGGAGAAACTTCAAGGTTATCCGTACTTGGTGTCTGTCCTGCAGCACCTGTGTTGGTCATGTTAGGGTTTCCACCGTGTTTGTTTTTTTTTTTTCCTTTGCAAAGTCTATTACTGATGCTATTTCTGTCGTTCTGTTTATCTGCTCATTTCTCTGTCTCTTCTAATAGAAGGAGAAGGGACAGAGGTCAGCTATGCATGGTCAATAAAGATGAGAGGCAATTTGGGGAGATGTCAGGAATTCAAAACTCAAGTACAAAACACAGTTCTTTCTCTCTGCTCACTACTAGTTCTGTTTGCCATTTCTGATGAAGGGTTTTTTAAGACTTACCTCAGTGTGCCATGGCTGAAAAAACTCTGGCATATGTCATGCATATACTTTTCTCTGTCACAATAAATTCAAGGAAATGTTGTGTCTGGATATGTGACCAATATTGCTGAACCTAGTAAGGGGAGTTAATCAGAGGTTCTGCTCCCTGCTTTGGAAAAGAAGTTGTGGAAAGACCAAACTTTCTCCTTCTAGCTGGCATATCTGTGTTGTAAAGCTTTTTGTGTGTAACTACCTTTTCCTTCTTGCAGGTGGTGGAAAAAGATGTGGACCCAGAAACAACTCTGCTAACCTATCTACGAAGAAAATGTATCCAGAGTCAGAAGAAACTGCAGAAGGCTTTAAATGCCTACAACATTTCATAATTGTGTACTGTTCTGCCTGTTAAGTGCTAGGCAGAGCTTGTGCACAGAGTAGAAGAGGGAGTGCTCTGCATGGTCTGGTATTTCTTGCTGGCAAAGATTACAGCTGGTATTCCAAGCTTAAACAATAGCAAATTTTAAATAAACTTTAAATAATTTATTAATACTTTAATGGGAAAGCTCTCAGAATCACTAGGAATTAGAATATGATGGGGAAAAAAAGCAATACTGAGATGACAATAAAATTGAAGGAAATTTATGTTTGTTCAACACAATTTGTAACGAATTCTCTGGCCAAAACACTACAGCCACTTGAGCTGCTTTCTATATCATCCAATAATTTGGATATTACTTGATAGTTAATATCCAGTAACTTGATTATCCAGTGGCCTGTTTATCAGATGTCTCAGGGATGCAAACTCAGAGGGGGGGGTCCTATCACATGCTGTGGGCATGTTTACATGAGTGGATGCAAGCAGTCACGTTTCACTCCTGTTTGAAACTTGTCAACACGTGAGTCAGATTAGCTCTGGGAGCTGGGTAGCTATTACTGGGATGACCAGCCTGGCTATACTAGGTCTGGTTCAGTAGGTAGTGTCGTTCCGTGTTTTCTGAGTTTTTGTCTGACCAACTGAGTGTGTATATATGCCAAACTGTTCCCACCTGTGTTGGTGTATTCCTTAAAAAAAAATCAAGCATACTTATTTCACCATGCTGCCATGTTCTATTTGTCTGGGATCTGAAAGAAATATGGGGATATAAATCACACTCCTCTTTGGGATTTCCAGCAGAACTATCAACAGCCCTATTTTGTCCAACTGTACTTTGGGTGGGTAAAGTCCGAGAGGGAAAATAAGTGGCATGACTCTTGTGCCTGTGTGCACTTCTTAACGCTAGACCTTTTATGTCTAAGCTTGTTAATATCTAATGCAAATAGCTTTTTGAAGAGCTCTGATGATCTCTTTACAACCTTCTGATCCTCTGCATGAATACTCTGGTGAACTTATTTTGTAGATGTCTGGTTAGGGTCAGAAAAACACTTTGAGAAACCTGTTTTGTTGAAGCAGATTAGCACTGTTGTCAAGAGAAACATTGGATGTCATCGGAAAGTTATATTTCTGCTGAAGCAGGCACATAGTTGTATGAAAAGTAGATGTAGTGCGTAGGGATGTGGTTTAGTGATGGACTTGGCAGTGTTAGGTTTATGGTTGGACTCAATGATCTTAAAGGTCTTTTCCAACCTAAATGACTCTATGGTTTCTATGATTCTATGAAAATAGTCAGTTCCAGAATCTTTGAAGCGAAGGCAAAGACAATTTGAGTTCCCTATATCATGATGCCTGTTGCTTTTCCATAGGCCTAAGCTGATTGCCTCAGCACAGGCATGTGTCCATTTCAATGGAAGCAGCTGCTCTTCTCCCACTAAGAGTGTCTTAGCCAATCCTCTTCACAACAAATAACGGTGTCTAAATACCTTCTAATCAATGAAGGAACCCAAAGCAGAAGTGACTCGAGGAATTGTCTCCTGAAATCCCTTTGCAGAACATTTAACATAATGTCTGATTTTAAAGTACAGACATGCATTCTGCAGCCTGCGGAGGAATCTGCTTAGGTCAGTCCATACAGTTTGTGAGCTCCTAAATTGTCTGTGCAGTGGTTCTGTGCATCTCCACTAGTTCTGGCTCTCAGTGTCTCCCTCTTGCAGTTTTATGGGAGCTGGGCTACTGGGGAGTCTGCTTGGCTGGTTTTGTCCTTAGCAATGGGGAAGCCATCATAAATGGGGCCAAAACAGAAGCTACGGTGGCCAGATCATGACTCTTGAGATGCTGGTAGACTGCGAGCAGTTCAAGTGCAGCTCCCATGTCAGTGCTAAACTGTGTGACTTATAGCACTGTGTGACTGCCCTGCCTTGGTGCCTTCTAGGTGGTAGGAATCACCAGGTGTTGGAAGAAGTCAGCCACCACTGGTGAGAGGTGCTGAAGGAGATGTCATCATGCATGCATCTCAGGGATGTGACTGCATGCCTGAACAGCTCCTGCTCAGCAGCTACTGAGTGCTTTGTCTTCCTTGTGTCATTTCCTTTTCTGAGTCTAATGGAAAGGGGGAACTGTTGAAGTTCAGAAATCTTTTGTTTCTAAGAGTCTTTTGGAATGTAGACTGCCTCCTTATTAGGGCTTTGGGTGTTCACACAGCTCACATGCCAGCATTTCAAACTTTGCTTATGTTATATTAAGTTATTAAGCAAAAAAAAAAATAAATACTAGTTTCCAGCAAGAACTTGTTCCTAAGCCTTGATTGACAACTGTTTAAGCAGACTTCTGCCAACATGCTTTGTGTTTTCCTTGATTCCTGTTCTCTCAGTGGGCCTATGTGGAACCAAACTAGGCTGTGGAGAAGGTGGATGTGGTGCTTGCACTGTTATGATATCCAAGTATGATCCCTTTCGGAAGAAAATCCTGTATCCTTTGCAATCTGAACTGTTCAACAGAGAAATGAAATGGGGACAGATTCAGGTTCTTGACATTCCAGACGTAGTACTGTTTAAAAAAATAAATTATATAATGTATGTTTCTGCCAAAACATCATTTCTCACTTTCAGAACATAATCTCAGAAGGCTAAGACAAGAAGGTATTTTTCTTACAGCACTGCACAGTGCTGCTAGGGAACTATTTTATTGTGCCCTGAATTATCTGCACTGACTCTAGCACACAGGCTATCTGCCTTTTCCCAGTTCAGAAAACCTTCATGTTCCATTCTTGCAATGTAATATAACTTTTTGCTGTGATGACCCAAATGATGATTACTGTGATAAAATCTTTATTGCTGTTGTATTACTATAATAATTTGGTTTCTGTATGCCAGCAGATACTAACTTTTTCTTTACTTCTGTTGTAACCTTCAGAATGACTCTTAATTCCTGAGATGTAAAGTTTCCTCCTATGCTCTCTTTAATTTAGGAGAGAAGCAATGGAATCAAACAAAAAGGGGAATGGAGAGAGAGGATGAAGCAAAGGGGCAGGCCCCAGTTTATATCTGCTGTGGGAAATAGAAAGCACTTGAAATCTTGGCTGTATTTGGAATAATGCTTGGAGATACTTTAACTTGGGATCATCTAACTTAGTGGTCCTGCTTAGTAACGTGGCCTTGAATAGGATATCTTTAGGGTCATTATTCTGTCCTGATAGAAGTGAAATAAAGTAGCTAGTTCCTATAAGAATTTTGGCAACATTATTCTATCTTACCTTCAGCCTGGACTTTTTCCCCATGTGTACCATCTAGAAATGGTTTCCTAGGTAAAAAGCGAAGAGCTCCATGCTCTTATGTGACTTCGCAAGTGGGCCAGGCCAGATGAATAATACCTTGGTATTTGTCATCTGTCCCCATAAATTACTTACATGGGTTCTGTAGCTTAACATGCAACAAGGATGTTTAAAGTTGTTATTTGTAGGTCAAATCCTATGGTGCATACTCCGTTTAAACTTCAAGTGAAGTTGATGAGAACTTTGGCCAAGTAGGTGCTGTAGGTTTTGGCTTGTAACTAACACCTGTATCACATCTATTTAAGTTCTCTTATTGTGCCCACTGCTACATTTTCTGAGTACTCTTCAGTCTTCCTGTTCCCTTTCTCTTCTGTTGAGCAGCACTGTCAGGTGAAATGACCTTAATCTATTATTTTAGCCACCATACTGCCAACGCTTGCCTCTTCCCTGTCTGTGCCCTGCATCATGTAGCTGTAACTACTGTTGAAGGCATAGGAAACACGAAATCCAGGCTGCACCCAGCCCAGGTAAGCTATTAATACTGGTAACTTTAAAACCCTCTGTCTATGTTTTCTTCTTATGTTAATTAATCCTGTTCCAGAGTGTTGGTATCTCCATCATTATGTTAAAGCCGGGAGTTTGACTTTCCACATCAGTAGTCTTTACTTGCAGGAATTGACTAAGTGATGGAATCAAACTCCTGGGTCAGTGCTGCAGCTCTGTTACACCCTAACAAGTTAACTGGTGCTAATCTGGCTGAATTGCCAATGCTTTTGTTATAGGGCTACGTGGCTGTGTTTAGTCCACATCCTGGACCAAATCCCAGGAACTGGGAAGACTGATGTTGTGGTGAAAGCCTATATAATAACTTGGAGCTAGGAAGTCTGAATTAGGTTTTGGCTCTTCTATGGCCTTCCATGAATGACCTTGATTTCTTGTCTTGCATAGTTAGGAACTTTCCTGCAGTGCAGTAAGGTTTGGTTCAGCAATGTTTCTGGAGTCCCAAAATATTCTTGGTGGGAGGAATGACAGGAATGTGAAGCCTTGCTCAGAAGAAAGCAAGCAAGGTGTTATAATGCACTTTTTATGGAAGCAGACTTGCCTCAGCTTGGACAGAGATACTGCTCCTTTAGGGGAAACTATGATTCATCTCAGTTTGTACAGTGGGTAGGACTTTTGCCAATATCTATCTGAGACAGTAAACAACAAAGTGAAAAAAAAGTTAGACATGCATGAATGGATGGCAGCTAATCTGACCTTTGTTTGCTTGTCGTCTTTTCCCTACTCCTCTGAAGATTCTAACAGCTAAGCTTTGAAATTCAAACTTGGGTCTATACAGGTAACCCCAACCTTTCTAGCATGGTAAATCTGAAGAAGTCCTGATCTCATTGGAGGCTTCCAGTCGCCTTCAGTTACATTGGGATTTCAAAGCCTAGATGCAAACTTTTCAGAGTGTCCTATTCTTTGAAGTCTGTTTCACAGATTAATTGACAATCTCATCAGAGGTCATCTGATGGTAGTCTTAGCTCCTCTGGTGAGATTGGTTTTTTTTTTTTTAAACAGAAAGAAACACAACAACGAACTCACCTTGATATTATGAGCTGATGGTTGGTTTTACTTTTTCTCAGGAGAGAATAGCAAAAAGTCATGGGTCCCAATGTGGCTTTTGCACTCCAGGCATTGTCATGTCCATGTATACATTGCTTAGGAACAAATCTGATCCCAGAATGGAGGACATAGAAGATGCTTTCCAAGGTAATACTCATAGCCATGCAGAAATGCAACGTGTTCTGCTTTCATTACATTTGCTTCACCAAATGGGATGGAGGTGCACCTTTGTTTAATGTATTTTGTTAAAAATAGCCAATTGTTATGAGGTTAAGAACTAGCTTTCCCACTAGGAGACTGGCCAGGTGCTAGGAAGTGAACAAAAATGGCCTGTGGAAAATCTCAGAAGCTTGTTGTTTGTCCTAAAGCAGGGGCAAGTGGCCTCAGTCTTGGATTAGGACCCCACTAAGCTTAACACAGAACAAAAGGTGGCCTGTCCCTAGAGTGCTTATAAGAGCCTCCACATCTCCTTGTTTATTCATTGCTGTCACAAGAGCTCGCAAAGGTGACAGAGAGCATCTGGGCCAGTCAACCTCAAGTAAAGGGCCAAGACAGCAATATACATGATGGAGTGGAGCAGGATCCAACTGTGTAAATCATCTGAGAGGCTGTTGTTAGAGCTGTTACCATGTTTCTGGCAGTGACCCAAGAGGAAATCAGATGCAGGAGAAAGCAACCTCTTTGTAATTCAGGAGACTGGATAGTTGGTATGTTCATTAGACTCACCCAGTTGAGGTAGATGAATACTGAATAAGGCACACTGATTTTTTTCCAAAATAATTTCAATTTAAAATGTCAACAAAAAGGGATGGTAGGATTATTGCAAGATTCTAATGAAATTTTCTTCCTCACAGTTTTTACATTAGCTTTAACTAGATTTGACAAGCTTTTGTGAGAAACATTAAAATGTTCTAAAAGAAGAGAAGTTCTTAGACAAATGACACTAAATCTTTGTCCTTTTGCTCTGGCAATGCAGGGAACTTGTGTCGGTGTACAGGGTACAGACCCATCCTGGAAGGATACAGGACATTTGCTAAAGTAAGTGGCTTCAGATAATGTTTAAAAAAATCTGGAAGGCTGGCTGTCTTTGTCTCCGTTACCAAAATACACCATGAGCTGAAATGGGGAGGAGGAAATATACATGCTACAACAAGCCAGCTCCAACTCTTGGCCCCTTTGTATGTGCTTCATGCATTAATAATGCAGGAAGACCTACTCCTTTACTCATTCCAGTTGCTGGAAGTGGAGCACTTCAATAAGTTCTGCGTGATGGTCCCTTTTTATATCACAGGTAATCAGACTCTCTTAATTCTTTTCTGTAAGTCTCTGAAAAACTCAGCATCTCTGCATAATACGGCTTGCAGATTATCCCTGATGTGGAAAAAGTGTAAAGGTGTGGTGAACAGATAGGGACATGCTGTGGGGCAATCTGATGAGAAAGTTGCTTTCTTGAAAGATCAGCTGCAGAGCTGAAACAGCTCTGGAAAGAAGTTGAAGTCACTGCTGTGTAGCTCTTGCCCAGAACTCATCTGCTGGTTTGGGTGAGGTATGAAGCTTTGTTCTAAGTTTTGTCTAGTCCCTTTGTTCCTGAAAAACTGCTGGAGGCTGTGAAGAAAAGTAGATCATTAGGTACTTCGGTGATTACTACCCACTTACAGGGCTACACTTGTATTAATTATAAAAAGTAAAGAATTTAGAATGCTGCCCATTAATTTCATTTTATTATCTAGAATTACGATCAACAAAAGAGAATACAAGCAGGACTGAGATCCATTACAAATGGTTGATAAACGCAGTCGATAGTCTACTTGGATTTCCAACAGGCTTTCAACAGTGTCTCACCAAAGGCTTTTAAAGACAATAAGCAGCCATGGGGTAAGAGGGAAGATCTCTGTATGGATGAAAGATTGGTTAAAAGGCAGGAAATGGCAGGTAGGAGAAAATGATGCGTTTTTATAACGGAGGGAGGTCACTGGTGGTGTTCTGCTAGGACCTGTGGTGGGAGCAAGGCTGTTCAAGGTACCACTAAATGAGGTGGAAAAGAGAGTGAGCAGTGATATGAGAAAATAAGTTAACTGATACCAGGTTAGTCTGGGTAGTGAAGACAGGAAAAAACTCTGAGAGGAATTTCAGAAGGGCTTTATGAGCCTGAGGGACTGGAGAATAGAATAGGATACAAAATTCAGGGCAAATAAATGCAAAGCAATTTACAGAGTGAAAGGCAGTCCTCATTTCACATATAAAATGATAGGCTGTGAGCAGACACAAGATCGTCTTCCTGTTACCATGCAGGAAGATGATCTTGGAGGTGTGGTAGACAGTGACAGCATTGGCGCAATGCTTGCTGGTATTCAAAGCAACACTTCAAAGGGTAGAGAACAAAACAGAAAACACTGTCATACCACTGTCTGCATCATGGCTCCTCCTACACTTAAGTACTCTGTGAAGTTCTGGTCTTCTCATCTCTAACAGGGTATAGCAGAATAGGAGAAGATTCAGAGAAATGGAATAAGGATCACATCTGTGGTAATCTGGCTTCTGTACAAGGAAGCACTGAGTGGGCTGGGATGCTTCAACCTGGAAAAAAGGTATCAGGGAGGGGAAGGGGCTTTACATAGCCCATATAGCAATTTGAGTTGACCTCTGATAGAGATCTACAGAATTGTGACTGGCAGGTGGAATATGGACAGGCATCTGCCATTTGCTGCCTCTTCCAATACAAGAACAAGGTGTCAAGAAATAAAACTAGTAAGACTTGAAAACAAAGGCAGGCAGATGGTCTGCCATGTACCAGGTAGCTGGCCTGGAGAACTCGCCAAAAGGTGTTGTAGGCACCAAAAACTGTGGGCTTCAGGGAAGACTGAGCAGGTACTTGGACGGAGAACTACTGAGGGTTACTAAAGACAGAAACTACACTGGGCTAAGGTAGTCCCCTGACCTGAACACAATTGGATGCTGTAGAGTACTAGGTATTGTGTTGTTTGTGCTTGTCCCTTGTACTCTTCTCTGGGTATCTCCTCACAGCTCCAGCTGGATCAGAGATACTGGCTGAATGGTCAGAGTAGTCCTAATCTAGAACAAGAGGTGTATCAATAGACTGGACATGACCTAGCCATGACACTGCAGATACTGCCTTCCATTGCCAAGCAAAACACCTACTTGCTTGGCACCTTCCATCTCATATTTCTGCTTTGTATAATAAATGTGGGATCAGCTTCTCTCAAAAGGGAATCAAGACAACTTCATTTCCTTGGAATCTGCACGTTTTTCTCAGAACAGTTTTTGTCCCCACAGGACTCAAATTGCTATGGCAGAGTAGCCAATGGCACTGGATGCTGTCGTAGTGAAAGGGAAAATAGCATGGTAAGCTGAATTTTAAGTCATAACCTCAATTTGCAATACAGTATGAGAGTTTTGATGTATTAGTCACCTCTCTGGCTCTACTGTGGTGCAGATATTCAGAGCTGTCTGAGCTGGTTTGAATGTCTGGTCTCTTGGAAAACACTGTGACTGCATATGTCCTGGTTAGCATGACTAACTATCGTGACACAGGTTTTACAATGGTGAGCTAGATATGTTCCTTCTGCATCTGTGAGGTGCAATGCTTTTGTGAAATAGCATGGTGACAACTGTAAGCAATGTGTTACCAGCTTCTGGTATGTTGAAGTGTCCATCTTGCTGTGAAAACAGACCTAAAAACCAGTTAATTCCCCAGAATGATCTTTCCCAAACTTTGCAGTCCAATGATGAATGAAGTAATTTAATCACCACCCCAATAAATTGTACAATTGGAACCTCTTGGAATATCTGGAGGAAAAAAAATTAATCACATTTTATGTACCAGTTGAGGTACAAACAGTGGAGGAATGAAAACAAGGAATTAGGGCATAAAGTAGTGTGAGTATAAAATTAATTTAGGAAAGAGATAATAAAATTAAATTTTTGCTAGGAAATTCTGGTGAATTCCGGTGGATTCTTTGTTAGGAAGCATCCAGTGTTGTGTGGAATACTCCAGCAATTAAGACTGCTTGGAATTCTTTCATCAAAGTAGTTTATTAATGAAAAATGTTACTGCAAATTTCTGTGATCCAGGGATTGATAAAAGGGGAGGAATATATCCTGTAAAAGTTGGAATGTTCTGACTTTGTGTAGAACAGCTGAGGCATGCTTGTTTCTTCTTCAGAATGGGGGCTGCTGTGGAGGAAAAGCCAATGGTCCAGGCTGCTGCATGAATGGAAAAGAAGACAATGTGGTAAGGTGCCTCTCAACTATTAGTTTTTTCTCTAATTCTGATGTTTTGAAGTCTTAGCTCTGCCTTGTTCTGTGCCAAAGCCCAGTGCTTTTAATTTAGCTGAATTTGTGCAAAGTAGCTTAGACTAATTTATATTTTATGCTGTTCTTGCCTCAAAAGAGATACCTTTGATCTAATTTAACATGCCAATGTGAAAGTGATGTCACTTTTGATTGGCAAAAACCTGTGAGTGTGTTCAGGGTTCAGGTTTCTGACAAGACATTCATTGTGATCAGAATAACATGACTGGAGAACCTGAAATGCTGGATCAGGTGGCATCTTTTCACTGTGCTTGCCATTCTTCGCTCCATGAAATAGTAGTGGGGATTTGACTGGAAAGAGGAATGAGTAAGGGTTGTATGTGGATAGCTTTCTCTTCTGCTGCCCAGCCATTTGTATTTTCTCTGTCATAGATAATGATGTCCTCCAGCCTGTTCAATTCTTCTGAGTTCCAGCCACTGGACCCTACACAGGAGCCAATCTTCCCACCAGAGTTAATGGTAAGGTCATTCAAAAAGAAATATCATGTGGTTCGTTGGTCTCGTCATTTTGCACAGGATTTGAGTGTCCACAGTGTCTCTGCCCTGAGAAAATGGTAGTGCAAAAGATGGCTGCTGATGATAAAAGAAGATGCGTGGGCATGAACGCTTCTCTGTTTTATAAAAGGGAAGGCTTTTAAGCCAGGGCGGCTTGAAAGATATGCAGGCCAAGTGCCTGCCCCAGCTGGTTGGCTTTCCTCCCTGTTTCTCACCATACATGCCTGCTCTTGGGTTGCTTTCCTCTCCAGTCACTGCCTGTCCAGGTATGGAACAGTTGCTGATATCTAAATTTCAATTTACTAGGTCAGATGTGAACTTCTACATTAAATACAGCCATATCAGAACTAATCACCCTGTGGTCCCTTTATAGTGTAGGAAGAGAAGTAGGAGCTATGGGATGTAGCTGAGTATGTTTCAACTAAATGACTTCCTGAAAACACCAACTTCTCTCCACTCAGTGTACCAGGAGTAGAAGTTGGCTGGCTCACACTGACATCAGAAGTTTTGGTGAGATTAATTTCTCTCCATGTTTCATTCCTCTCTTTTTTGGGGTAGTTTTCCCCTAAGCAAATGTGTCCCAACCAGGAAACTAGTCCAGCACATGGCACATTAACAGCTTCCTTCACATTTAACAAACAACTGAAATTCAGTCATTAGTTCTGCTGCTGCACCCAGCCTAAATGTGTCATGACCAACACCATGAGTAGGTTCTCATAGACCTTAGAATAATATACATTTAGCTTGAGATAGATTCCCTCTCTTTCTTCTCTAAGACATTCTCCTGCCTAAAGGTTGATCTGATGTTGCTGAGAGGCAGCCATGTTGGTCTGTTTTCTTCAGTCACTGGATGAAGGAATTAAAAAGGGAACCAGAATCTGGCCTTAGAGCTGGTAACTCAAATTCAGCAGTGATAAAGACTGATGTTTTTGCAGTGAGATGAGAATGGAAAACCCATTATTTGTAAGATGGCTGAAGCCACAGGCATCTGCCAGAACTTTGGTCAGGTGGAGCTTGCTGGTAGAGGTCTTGCTAGGGAGATGTGGCAGCAGGATGCACCTGGCAATATTGGGACAGGAAAGCTTTTGTCAGCATGAAAAGGACTCTTGTCACTGCTAGCAGAAGGATGGGGAATGACTAATTGCCAGCAACAGTGTGGGTATCACAGCCACTTGTCAGTAACTTGACTGATGGAGCCTGGCCTAGGCATGGGCGTGGGCAGCACGTGAGCAGGGATTCTTGGCTTGGTGTAGGGTCTGAGCTCTATCTGAATTCACTTTTGCAGACTCAGAGTAACAAACAGCAGAAACGGCTGTGCTTCAAAGGCGAGCGTGTGATGTGGATTCAGCCTACAACTCTCAAGGAATTGGTGGCTCTCAAGTCCCAGTACCCCAATGCCAAGCTTGTTGTGGGGAACACAGAAGTGGGTAAGAGGAAGAGCTGAGCAATTGGAAAACTTTCCATGGAGTATTTTGTGAGAACAGTGCAAATGTAAAGCACTTTCGTGCCATTGCTGTGAAATAGCTATTTAATCTTCAGGTTATATGTAGGAACAAATTTTCTCCTCAGGTAGATAAATCTCACAGTGAATGTTTTTCCCTGTTTTTTCCTGTGTTGGGCGGAAAAAAAAAAGTTATGTAGACCTCTGAGCTTTCGTGCTAGTTTTATGGAATTTTGAGAAGAGGGGAGTGGCACAGGGTAAAATGTCCTCATAATGAAATTAATTCAGTTGTGAAACCTGCGTTTTAGAAGATTTTGCAGTGAGTAAACTCAAGACTTGAAATCTGATTGTTTTTTTCCCTCAAAATGCATACTTCTGTAAACATAAGTGCTGAGGAGGAGAGTTCAGATGTATGAGCAATTGCTTCAGGAGACAATCCCCAAACTTTGAATGGTTCATTGTTCTTTCCAGAAGGATTACATACAACAATAGCCAGGTTACGCAAGTACTAAACAAGGTATTTAAGGTTATTGTAAGCCTAGAAAAGAGTCTCTAAAACTTCCCAGTGAGAATTCTGGTATTAGTGGAAAACAGCTTTTAGTCTGGTGTCTCTGTGACCTTATATAATCTGTGTAACAGATGGTCAATGAACTGCCTCTTTAATAGGCCTGCTGCCATTTCACTGGGGAACAGTTAATTTAGGCTCTCTGTTCACCTGTGTGTAACTGAAGGAATCTTACTTTTCCTCAAGGTATTGAGATGAGGTTAAAGAACATGTTGTATCCAGTGATAATAGCACCAGCATGGATCTCCGAAATGAACGCTGTTCAGCACACAGAGACAGGTGAGCAAAAAAGAGGCAGAATGCCTGTGAAATGAGTGGGGACTCCACAGAATAATAAAGAGGATATGAAGGCAAATCCTCAGATTAAAAACTGCTTTCTGTATGCATTGATGCCTCTCCCATGCAGGGAATCAAGTGAGTGATATGTAAAAATAATTTGAGAATCAAAGAGGGCTTTCACTAGAAGGTATATTAGAGATTTTATCTGTTTCATGCATGGTGGTTTATGTATTTTAACTGTGTTAAGAATAGGTTTCAATGGGCAATTTTTTATTTAGAAAGACTTAAAAATTAGTAACTGGGGGAAAGATGCTGGATTTGACAGTCTAAGTGACTAAGTGCGTGGTGGGAACAGGTCAACCTTATAAATAGTTAGAAGTAATTAGGACAATTTAGTGCATGTGGTCCAATGCCTGGCAGCATGTTTAAGGTGTGGAAACTGGAGAGGAGTTGGAATTGACTCCTCAAAGGACAGACTAATACCTATAGGATGACAATATCGTTTATAATACACTGGGGCAAAAGGATGGTGGGTTACTGTCATGTGAGAGGCAGTACCCCACCATGAGCTGTGATTTAAAGGTGAATTTTGTTCTGAGGGTATGATGTTTACATGCAGTGCATGCAAAATAGTCTAGTGTGACTGCATGTCTTCTCTAAACCCTACTGTCTAATTAAACTCAGTGGCATCTAAGCTTTGTAGACACAGTTATAACCGTCTTCCTGTACCTTGATGTTTGGGAGAACAACAATTCTTTTCATTTTTTTGTTTACAGGGGTCACCTTTGGTGCTGCCTGTACCCTGAGCTCAGTAGAGGAAGTGCTGAGAAAAGCAGTGGCAGAGCTTCCTCCTTACAAAACAGAGGTCTTCCAGGCTGTCCTTGAACAGCTGCGGTGGTTTGCAGGGCCACAGATCAGGAATGTTGCCGTGAGTGACTCAGGAGCATCAGGGACTGGAGTTGAAAGCTCAGTCTGAGGAGCTGGCCTGCCTCATCCAATGTTGGTGTGCCTTGTGCTTCTCACACGAGAACATTTCCAAACCTATGCAAAGAAGCTGGTACACATAAACCAACCCCAGGAACTGGTAGCAACATGGGTCTTAGCTTGTGTCTGTACTACACTGATATCACAGATTTAGCAAACAAGGGAAACATGGCACTTGTCCTGGTCTTCCATTGCTGTTATCAGGATAAGTGGGGGACACTGTAGGGAGATTTGGCTAATTTAACAAAAATGCATTTAGAGTGCTGGACAAACTTCAAAAAAGCAGGTGTGTAGATTTTTGCCAGCACAACTATGGTAGTCATAGTGTTAATGCATCAGATCTGGCAAATTTTCCTCTAATTTTAAAGG